TAGCCAGATTGGAAGGGGATGAGGTCGAGGCAGGGAGACAGTCTGAAGGCTGTTGCTCTAGTCCTGGAGAGAAGTAATAACAGCCTGGGGCAGGGAAGTAGAGGGGAGGGGATGGCGTCAGGTCATGTAGAGGCTGATTTGGATACATCTGATACAGGTGACAGATACTAGGGTCCTAGGGCCACCTAATAAATGACCATAAACTGGGTGGCTTAAAACCACAGAGATTTATCTTCTCACAGTTCCGGAAGCCAGAACTCTGAAATCAAGGGGTCAGTAAGGACACACAACCCTGAAAGCTCCCGGGGAGAATCCATTCCTTGCTATTTCCAGCTTCTGGTGGCTCCAGGTGTTCCTTGGCTGTGGCCACATCATTCCAGTCTCTGCCTGTCTTCATATGGCCTTCTCCTCTTCTCCCCACGTCTCTCCTCCGGGCATCTCTTATAAGGATAATTGTCATTGCATTTAGGGCTCAATGGATAATCTAGGGAGAGCTCATCTTGAGATTATTAACTACATCTGCAAAGACTTTTTCCAACTAGGATCACATCCACAAGTTCTGAGTGCTATCTGTAGGGGGGCCACCATTCAACACACTACAGTGGGTGATGTGTGAGATGCCCCTTCCCAGGACGGGACGAGAAGAGCAAGCTGAGGTAGACAAGAGTCCCGCACTCACGGCTACTGTGGGGGCCCCACACGTGGCACCCTCATCTGTGGAGAACTGTCCTTCTGGGGAGCTGGGAGGGCTGCCCGCCACCTGCAGGGGTGGAGGGTGGGGATGTGCTGAGCAGGACCAGGGACAAAGCCTGCTGACAGGTAGAGCCTTTCCCAGCGTTGATTCATTGACCATCTGGGCAGGCGCTGGACCGAGCCACTTGGAATGACAAAAATATCTCACGCACATTTTCCTCTTGGCCGGTGGTTTGGTTCTCAGCACCCAGAGAAGGCCTGTCTGCTGTGTTCCCCCTGCTCGCCTTCATACTCATCATGTCTGAAGCTGTCCCTCTGCACCCGCCCACCTGTCCCCCTTACCCCCGTCATTGAGGCTCAGATGGAATGGACGGGCCTTGAACATGTCCTTATAAGTGAAATATTCGGCCTGTTAAGTGAGGCTGGAGCAGGTGGTGCTACCTCAACTCAAAGAGACGGAGGCAGGCTCGGTAGGCTATGTCCTCCAGTAGGGTAGGAGGCAGCCTGGGAAGTGTCCTCGACGTCAAAGCCAAAGACCAAAACCCGGTGCCGTCGAGTCAATTCCAACTCATAGCAACGCATTTTAGGACAGAGTAAAACTGCCCATAGGATTTCCAAGGCTGTAATCTTTACAGAAGCAGAATGCCGCATCTTTAGGCTAGCTGACTGCCACATCTTTCTCCCAAAGAGCAGCTGATAGCTAGGTTTGAACCAACGACGATCTTTTAGTTAGCAGCCAAGTGCTTAACCACTGTGCAAACAGGGCTCTGCTGATGCTGAAGCCAGTGGCCCAAAAATGCTTTCTATTTGGGCCCCAGACCAGTGGCCCTGGAATGACCAGGAGGGTGAAGAGGCTCAAAGTCCACTAACTGCCCAAGCCCCCTCCCCCCACCGCATCCCTCATGGGTTCCTTGGCATTGTTCCAGCCCTCACAAAATCTTTCAGGAGGGAGGGAGCCATCTGATGTACATTTTGTAAGTATATTATATGTCAATAAAAAGGTTTTAAAACCTGGGGGCAACTCGTACACCAATGTTCATTGCAACACTATTCACAGTAGCCAAAAGGTAGGAACAACCTAAACATCCGTCAGCAGATGAATGGATAAACAACACGTGGTGTATATACACAACAGAATATTATTCAGCCATAAAGAGAAATGAAGTTCTGATAAATGCTACAACATGGATGAATTTTGAAAACATTATGCTGAGTGAAATAAGCCAGTCACAAAAGGACAAATATTGTATGACTACACTTACTTGAAATACCTAGAGTTGGCAAATGTATACAGACCAAAGCTTATTAGTGGTTACTAGGAGTCGGAGTGAGAAGGAAAGAGGGAGTCATTGCTTAGGGGGCACTCAGTTTCTGTTAAGGGTGATGGAAAATTTTCCAACTAGATTGTGGTGATGGTTGCACAACATGATAATTAATGTCACTGAATTGTGGATGTAAAAAAGGTTGCAATGGCAAATGTTTTGTTATATATATATTTTATCACAATCTAAAAACAATCAAAAAACCCTGGGGGCAGGGAGAAGCTTTAGAGGCATACTCAGGCCCTGCCCCACCCTAGGACACAATAGTCCCCCCCTTGGATTGGGCTAAAGGCCCAGTTAGTGCTGGGTCACCCTAGCTCCTTGTAGAGTCCCCTTCACTGGGCTGAATTTGACAACGGGCACAAGCTTTAGCCAAGACCACTGCAGGATCAGCCTGGAATCCTTAATGGAGGATGCCACCTTGGGTGGGACATCAACCACTCCTCACTCTTCACACTCCCCTACCCAGGAGTCTGTTTCCCCTGAGGTATAATCCTTTCTGATCATAATCACATAACAGATCATATTTCCCTTTTTATTTTGCTGCCAGGAGTCTCAGAGCCATCTCTGAAGCTTGGCCACAGTAATTCTGTGCCCCTTGCAAGCTAAAGCATTTTTCTTTATTTCTATGGTCTTGGTTTTATCAGTCTGCTTATATCTTCTCTGATCTAACTCTCCTTATGTATTTCATCAGTGTTTTTTATTGTGTGCATTCTGTTGTAAGAGCCTTACATGCTGTTTAGAACAAATAGGGCTATAAATAAGGAAACAAATACATCTTGTTTCCATTATGACATGAATATTTATTTTTGAAAATGTGGCTTTTTAATGTAGTAAATGAATTCTCCTTCTTCATAAAATCAGCTGCCATCCAGTCAATTCTGACTCATTGCAACCCCATGTGTGTCAGAGTAGAACTGTGTTCCATAGAGTTTTTAACAGCTATTTTTCAGAAGTAGATCACTAGGCTGTTCTACCGAGGTACCTGTGGGTGGACACAAACCTCCAACATTTCTGTTAGTAGCCAAGCATTTTGACTATTTGTACCACCCAGGCACTTGACCCCACCCCTGAACCTACTGAATGGGAGTCTGCCTTTTAGAAGGGCTTCAGGGTCCCTGTGCACACTGAAGTCAGAGAAATACCATCCTGAAGCCTTCCATCTCTCACTCCTCTCCAGTCTAAGACTTTGCCCAAATGCAAATCACCACAGCAGCACCAGCAGCTGCTCCAGACAGGAGAGGCCTCAGTGCAGGGCCAGGAGCCCAACCCCCAGCTATTTCTGACTCCTTGTCCCCAAGCTCAGTTCCAGTTCCACACCACACACAGCCACACTCAGCCATCCTCAGTGTCCCCTCCACTCATCTAATACATGGTTGAACTATGCAAAAAAACAAATAACACCATACAAGGAAACTAGAGGAAATCAAAACAAATGCCAAGGCCAGAAAGGGAGGGAATGAGAGATGCCAGCTGCTGGCCAGGGGGGAGGAAGGGCTGCCCAGCACTCTGGATCCAGGTTCTTGCCCTTGCCCATGTCTGGGGAATTTTCTGGTCCCTGAGGAGAGGGCAGGAGTTCTGTTCTCTGCCCTCCCTTGGGCCAGAGAGAACAAAGGACTGGGAATCGGTGATTGGGTTACCCTCCAAACAGGAGGCAAGAACACTCACTCAAAGGAAGGAAGGGGCACTGCCCCTGTGCCTGAGCCCTCGTCCTGGCTCTGCCCCATCCTGTTCTATGACCATGAGTAGCTGATCCTCTCAGGTGAGCTCAGCTCTTGTATCTGCCAAATCTTGAGAGTAATAACTATGAACACTGGTCTAGCTGCCTCACAAGGTTGCTGGAAGGATGCTGTGAGCAGGGAGACAGGAATGCTCCCAGGAGCGGGACCCAGCCCACCCACCACAGAGGAGACAGACAAAGCCAAGTGAATCTCAGGTACCTGCACCCTCTTGCAGGGAAAGGGGCCACTTTCTCTCTCTGTGCATGCAGCATTCTGACAGCTCTGATCCACGGTCACAGGCCAAGCTGATGGGAAGCTAAGAGATCATTTGGAGATGAGGCTCATGGTCACTCATCTTCATGCTCTTTCAGTCATCTGTCCACTCACCTGGTCAAGCCTCGTAAAGGCCTCCCATGCACCAGGCTTTGTGACCAAGAAGCTCAGGGTTCATGGTAGAAGAAAGAGAACCGTCCAGGTCACCTCTGCCATAAATTGAAAGACTATGTAGAAGGGGAGTCCTGGGTGGTACAAACAGTTAATATGCTTGCCTGCTAACTGAAAGCTGGAGGCTTTCCCCCACCCAGAGGCTCTTCAAAAGAAAGGTCATTTACACTTAAAAAATCTGCCAGTGAAAACACTATGGAGAACAGTTCTGCTCTGACACACATGGGTCACCATGAGTCAGAATTCACTGGATGGCAACTAACAACAAAAACAAATGTAGGGATTTTGGCCACATTTGGAGTACAGAGATGAAGGATATGGGAAATTGGGGTGGGGGGAGGGCAATTGGCCTGGGGAGCCAGAATCAGGTGGCAGGTTTGGGAGGGTGAAGAAGGTCAGCGAAGGATCCCTCCCCCCACCTCCGTGGTCCCAACAGTAGCCCAGATTGAGAGATTTGGGTTGCTCAGGGCAGGTGTACATGAAGCAATGCTTAGGAATCTGAGCCATCTGGGGAGATGGGTAGATAGGCGCCTCCTATTCCAACAGGATGGGGAGTGGTACCCTCAAGTCAGAAGGCCAGAAGGCCAGGGGGCTTTTGCCTTCTTGAGGGAAAGGATTGGATGGTTGTGTGTCACCTTAGATCCAAGTTCCAATCAGTAGGAACAGCTCGTATCCTGCAGGGAGATATAAGCATGTGGAGAGAACCAGGGGTAGCGATATAGGGTAAAGGGAGACAGAGACGGTGGTGATAGAGCTGTAGGTGTAGACACAGTGCATCCAGTGTGACCTGAGCCTCAAGCTGCTGTCCCCACGTCTGATCATGGCACCTTTCTTCTGGCTCCCAGGAATCCTGTCACTGCTGCTTGTTCTGCACTGGGAACATGGGGCAGGGAGCCCCACTCCTGACAAGGCCACCTGCACCACAGACCACCCATGTCCCAGCAACCTCATGACTCAGATCAAGAACCAGCTGGAACAGCTCAACAGTACTGCCAACACCCTCTTTGTTCTCTACGTAAGATATCCCTTCCCATCCCCGGGTACCGAGGAAGGAGGGTGTGGGCCTGGGGTGAAAGGAGTGGGCAGAATTCCTGCAGATATCAGTAGAGGCCACACTGACCTTGGCTGGGGGAGGGGGGCTGACCATGGAGGGGACCTTTGAAGATGGAAGGAAAGCAGGGAGGCTGGTTAAACCACATCCAGCTTTCCGTGTACCCAACCCCAGCCCAGACTGGAATGGACTTTCCCAGGGTTAGGTCGGTCCAAAGCTGGGGTCAGACAGTACGGGGCCTGGCACTTCAGGTGTTAAGATTCCTCCACCATGTGGACCAAGAGGCTGATGGAGATACACAAAGGAGGGAAAAGGAAGGGAGTTGTTCAGAGAGGTGTTGTTGAGCGAGACAGTGGGCGGTGGGTGTCTGCGTGCAGAGAGATGCCCAGATGGGTAAAAGGGCAAGTGTGTGTGGCACATCTCTGAAGGTGAGGAACCAGGTTTTCTTTCTTTCCCCATATGATGATGATAATTATTTTTAAAAAAGTGTAGTCAGTTTGATTCTGACTTATGGCACCCCCTGTGTATCAGAATAGAAATGTACTCCATAGGCTTTGCAATGGCTGATTTTTTGCAAGTAGATTGCCATATCTTTCTTTCGAAGCACTTCTGGGTGGTCTCAAACCTCCAACCTTTCAATTAGCATCTAAAGGCCATTAACCATTTGCACTACCCAGGGACTCCTAATACTACTAACAATAACAATCCTTGCATGGTAGAGGCCTTGATTTTTTACCAATTCTGTTCACACTCAGATGTCCATTTGCCTTTCATGACAATCCTGAGATGCCTACAGGGCACAGATATGGGTCTCCATGCCATAGGTGGGAAACTGAGGCCCAAGAGCTTGCTGCAAGGGCTGGTGGCAGGGCTGGAACACTGATCCCTGCCTCCTTGCTCACCTCCCCTCTGCCCTCTGTTCCTCAGTACACGGCCCAGGGTGAGCCATTCCCCAGTGAAGTGGACAAGCTGTGTGGCGGCCATGACTTGACAAACTTCCCACCCTTCCACGCCGAAGGCACGGAGAAGGACAAGCTGGTGGAGCTGTACCGCATCATTGCCTACTTTAACATCTCCCTGGGCAACATCATGGAGGACCAGAAGACCCTCAACCCCAATGACCAGAACCTCCACAGCAAGCTGAGCTCCACGGCAGACACTGTTCGGGGGCTCCTCAACAACGTGCTCTGCCACCTGTGCAATGAGTACAACATGGGCCATGTGGACATGTCCTTTGGCCCTGATATCTCAGGCAACGATATCTTCCACAAGAAGAAGCTGGGCTGTCAGTGCCTGTTTAATTATAAGCAGGTCATTGCTGAGCTGACCCAGGCTTTCTAGGCAGAGGATTTTGAAGCGTGCTGTGGATCAAGGGACCTTGGGAGCAGGACCTAGAGGTGGGAGGCTCTCACAGTGTGGCAGGGGTCATCACTAAACCCAAGTGTCGCTGCTGGCAGAAACTGAGGGGCTCCCTACCAGTCCGCTCCACTGAGGGGTGGTCTGAGAGGTAGCCGAACAAGGTCAAAACTTCCGCAGGCAGAGCCTCAACACTGTGCCAGCTAGAAAGAGGCACCCTTTCCTGTGGAAAAAGACAGCCAGGCACCATGGTGTCAGGCTGGTGAGTGGAGTGTGAGCTGGACTTCTGCCCACACCTGATCCTCTGGCATAGCTTTAGACCTTGAGCAAACAAGTTGTCTCTGGTTGCCCTGACCACAGGGCAAGAGAACAGCTGAGGGGCCCTAGAACTGTCCTGACCCAGCACTGTCCCCGCAAAGATGCTCCCACACTGTGGGAAGCTCTTTGGGTGTCCCAAACAACACTGAGGACAAAAGGGCCTGGCTGAGGAGGCCTCAAGAATCTGGGGCTATGTAGTGGAACCACTGTCCCTGCTCTGGAGAGGGTGGTCTGTGATCCCTGGATTCAGACCGAGAAGCTGTGGTCCCCTCCTGCTCCCCCGCCCCACACCCCCATCTGGGTATGGTCTCCAAGGCAGGGAATCTGATCCCTTCCTTTGCATTGTGGGCCAGGCAAGTCTAGAAACCCCCTCCAGTCTGGAAGTGGTGACAGCTGCTCAGAGGAGTGTTTTGGCTTCTTCTCAAACCCTGAGCAGGCAGGCAGTGGTCCTAACAGTTCAGCCAATTAAATTATAATGCTTTGCACTCACTTTGCCCCTTTCTCCTTCTCTGAAAACTTTATCCAAGCCTCCCTGCTGGCAGGCAGGCAGCAGGCATTCCCTGATGCTGGGGCCCAGGCCGGGAGTTACCAGTCCTCATGGCAAGACTAGGATATGGAGATTCAGCTCTGAGCTCATTGGTCATACTCCTTTGTCCTGGATCTTGGCCTGCCTGCCCTTCCCATCTCTTTGCTCTGTCAGTGGACTTTTCGGGACAGCTGAACTTCACCAAGCTCAGCTACGAGAATGCCAGCCTCATCTGAAAGCCAGAATTAGTGACTCCAGAGCCTAGTGACAGCAGGGTCTCCCATCATCTCATAACCTTGTGGACACACCTATGCTGGTATACCTGGACGGCCTCCCTGCCCAATATGCCACCTGACCCCTTGGCTCTCCCATCATCCATGCCTCTCCACTCTAGCCCCAATTCTGCTCCTCAGCCCCCATCCACATCACACTTCCTATAACCAGCCTGGCATATCAGCAACCCTTACCAACAGTATCCTTGAACTATTGATCATTTTTGCGAAAAGCTGTTCTTTTCTGTTTTTCTACTGCTGATGTTGACCCACTCCTGGCATCCTGGGTCATGTGCCTGGGCCAGAGATGTTTTAAGGAGGAGGGGGGCTTAGCAGAGGAGGGGGTAGGGCAGTCTTTTTGCAGTATATCCAGGAGACTTCTAATTAAAAAAATACTTTAATCAAAAAGCACTGCTAGTTTGCTTGTCTCATCTCTTCCTCCAATTTCACCTACTTCCCCTCGTTTCCCTTGGACCTTATGGTGGCAACTTCTCCCCTGACAGAGGCAGTTCAGCCTTGCTTGGCTGGCCCTCCACAATAGACATAGCATGTAGGGTTGGAGGCCTGGAATTGAGATAAGTAGTCATTTCCCTTCAGACGTGTCTTATTTATTTAGTGCTGCTATAACAGTAATACCACAAGTAGGTGGCTTTAACAAGCAGAAATTTATTTTCTCGGTTTAGGAGGTTAGGTGTGATTCATGGGGGGTCATTACTGTAACAATCTGCCACATCCACAGTTTGCATTCTTTCAGTCATGATGTGTGCAACATGTTTTATGATTTTTGTGAAAAGGATGAGTTCCTCCTTCCAGCATGGATGGTCATCTAAATGGGGTAGCAGGTTTCGTTTTGTTCCAAAGCCAATTAAATATTTAACAGCAAGGTGGGAGAAGGTGATCATATACAAAAATCCAGAAATGACCCTGAAATTCCTAGGTATGAACATTCCTAGTTATGAATATTCTACTAATAACTTGCAATTACCTGGTATGAATTACAATAGCACTAATTTATAAAGAATGATTTTAATTTAGAATGTATTATCTAACTTTCAAAAGAGCCTCCAGACTAGAACACAATATTTTTGTCCATTTCCCATCTATCTGGTTCCTGTGAGCAGGACCACTGCACCTCAGCTTAAAGTAATAATCAGCCTCATCCTGCTAATGAACCCCAAGGTGGAGAAAAATACTCAAATTACTCAATATATCTTTAGATCTAGAGAAGTGGTTAAGACCCCAGAGCGCTGGTGCTTACTTAAATCTGACTGAAAGTAGGGGAGATACTATGGTGTGCTCCCTGGCTTCTGCTGGTATCAGAAAATGCTGAAGCCACCAACATTGAAGCCATTGCTCAGGGTGTAGGAGACAGAAGTCAGCTGAGTGAGCACAGGCTGGGAGAGGGGACCTGGGAACAGGGATACTTGCAGGTGATGGAGCAGGGGTTAAGTTCAAGATGATTGGGGGTCAGAGCCAGAAAGAGTTGATGCAGGTTGGGGAACTGCCCCTGGGTCTCTAAAGTCCATCCCTACCTGTGCAGTGAGAGAAGAGCATAAGGAGGAAAGAAGTCCAGGCTGTGGTGGACACTGTCCTTCTGAGACCCCACAGCTAGAGTTAGCCTGCCTCAGGCTTCTCTTACCTTCTTCCCATTGGCTTTAGGGAAGCTGTTCATGAAAATGTGTTCCCACCCACTAGCTGTCTCAGCACCTCCTTGAGCACCGACTCAGGAGCCTGTTGGCAGAAGAGTTTGAAGGGAAGGGATCTCTGAGTTTGGCACAGGGCTTGGGAGGTAGCAGATACTGGGACAACACACAGGCCTATGTGCAGAAGACCCTGTCAGGTCCAGAGCTCCTGTGTCTCCACAGCCTCTACCCCCCATATTGGTGACTTAGCATTGTTAGGGGACTTACACAGCTCTGAACACCATCTGGCTGACCTACCAGGACTATTCTCACCTTGCCCCTGGCTGGTCTCAGATTCCAGCATTCTCCTGCAGTAAGCCTGAAGATTTCTGTCAGCTAATCCTGTCATTGCCACAGGCAAGTGTATGCCCAGCACTTTTCTAAGCAGCATTATGCCTAATGGTAATACACCCGACAGAACTTGAGGGTTTCTTTAATCTTCATCTTGAAGGTTGAAGAGATGTTGAGTTTTCCTGAGGGACAAAGAGGAAGGAACATTTCTAGTTGAGTAAGTAGATCTTTCAAAGCTTCAGGAATGTGAATTATCAAATCAGGTTTGTGGCATGTCAATACTTTGGTGGGATGTTGTAGAGGATGATGAACTGGGGGAGAAGGTAGGAAGACCCGGAGCCTGGAGCTGGGCCAGATGGTGAAGGGTTTGGGGGACTAGAGTGAGGATTTTGTTCTCTATCCTTTCTGTATTACTTAATCAGTAGGGAGTATTATTAAAGATTGTGATATTGACAATTTTCTGTTATATTGAGCTTTCTTCAGAAAGAGGGTTGAAAATGGACTTGAAAGCAAGGAGATAAGACAAGGAGAGATGATGGGTCTAAAGAAGGTAGTGCAGAGATAGAGGAGGAGATGAATATGAGGGACATTTTGGTGAACAATTGGGTGGATGGTGGCACAAAAGAAGTGTACATTTATTTTCACCTGGGTTTTCTGAAAAAGTCCTTTCTTTGTAATAGAGGTTAAGCCTCTATGTTATCTTGTTGGCACAGATGTCACATATTTGAGACAGAAAGCTGGCAGTCAAGTGGGGTTGAGCATTGCTTTTGTTGCTATGTGCTTTCTTTCATGAACTGAACTGTAGCTGCCTGCTCTGTAAGATTTTCATCTTTGGCTCAATAGAAGCTTAACTGATGGAAATACCTTATAGTATTAGATGTTCATTAATTGTCACTCTTTGTTTTCAGGGTTAGATTCAGTTTGTACCTTATTCTGTGTCTTCCTAAGGTTTTGAGCAATGTACGGGGAGAAGCTTGAGATAAAGTGCATCCTAATTGCATGTTTAATCAATTTCAGACTGCAGAACTTGGTAAAAATCTTCAATTTCTTCACGTTTGGCCTTAGTGATTGGTGCTTAAATTTGAATAATAGTCGTATTAACTGGTCTTCCTTCTAGGCGTATGGATATTATCCTATCAATAATAGCATTGTACTTCATGATAGATCTTTTTTTTTGTTTTGTTTTACTTTTTACCTTTTTTTTTATTGTACTTCAGGTGAAGGCTTACAAAACAAATAGTTTCTCATGAAACAGTAGTACACATATTGTTTTATGACATTGGTTAACAACCCCGCAACATGTTGACCCTCTCCCTTCTTGACCT